CGGAACACTTCGGCGTTGTCGACACCGGGGCTATTAATACGCACGTGTGTGTAGTCGACACAACCTGAAACGCAAGGGAACTCAGCCACTTCATAACAGTCCGCCGGCTGCGGAAAGCGCACCAGCATCGCGTACAGGTGCTTTGCGATGAGTAGCGTAACTTTTCCGACTGCACGGCACACTGTCCACTACGGAATGCTGACGAAATTTCCGGTGACTGGTTGGTATGTGGCAGCGCTGTAAAACCTGAGAGCCATCAGTAGCTGTAACACTGGATGCACGGGCTGTCTTCGGTTGTCCCCACTTTCACGGAGCGGCAACATAACGAGCAGCTGCCCCACGGCGTTCTTCATGAATTGTACCTAGCGTGGAATTGTTGCTCGTCGTACAACTCCATCGGATTTCCTTAGTCACGTAAAACGGTTTCAAGAATCTTCGGCAGGCAGTGGGCCTCAAAAAATGCTACGCTTATGGCGAGGCAAGCAAACTGAAAAGCGGCCACCTTTCACGCGAAGTCCATTCGAGAGGTGGCCATGTTGCAATAACGCGTGAAGTCGCTTTCAAGCTAGCCCCGCAGCTGACTTGAAATTTGTCCTGACTTCGGCCGAGCCAAGTCACCTTCAAGTCATCCGCAAGTTCGAGAACGATTTATGGCGACCGGCAAGACTGTCTTGAGTCAAGAACGAATCAAGTACGAGTCAAGTAACATCTCTGCATTCGGGGGTGAAACTGAACTTGTGAATGTGAAACATATGTGGTTCTCAAAGTGCGGTGTGTCAATTTAAGCAAAATCATTGTTTAATTCTATACCCTCTAGTCATTTGTGCAAGAATATTCCTTCGATACCCATTTTAAAAACTTCGGCTACATGTCGTATAAATGTATACTCAACATTCTTTAGGTGTTATCAATTCCATCGGCGCTTTACATGTGCTCTTTTGGAATGTACGACGGTACACACAAGAAACTAGAAAACGCTGCCCAGTGTACTCGCATGCACAAATAAACTCGCACTTCTCGCTTCTGTCGGAAAGCTGCTGGTGTTGAACCTTCGACCTTGAAGATTATGAGCGCCTCTCAACCGTAGGTGCTGGCCAGGAGGTGGCACACGGGCACTTGCGCCCCTCTCACCAAAAAAAAAAAAAGTTATTTTCGCCGTCGCAAAGAGAGAGAGAGAAATGCCCATCTTAGGGGGTGTCCCTCCCGAAATTAGGGTGGTCCCCCTAACCCCCACCCCCCAAAAATATATCAGGTTACGCGCCTCCACAACTGACCAAATATTGCCACTATGAAATCTACGTCAGAGGAAGCTTCGTTATGTGATAGAATGCTAGGTGCCCCAATCCTCAACTTCACCCACTGCTCATTCACACTGACGTCACCATGGTTTTAGCCAAGATTGATTCAAACTCAATAGGAAAATTTTCACTTTTGCTTGCATATATATATATATATATATATATATATATATATATATATATATATATATATATATATATATATATATAGTATAAAAAGAGGTCGACAAACGTGCGAAAAAACTAGTTTTACTAACGTTTCGGCAGGTGGGCCTGCCTTCGTCGGAGTGAATCACTCCGACGAAGGCAGGCCCACCTGCCGAAACGTTAGTAAAACTAGTGTTTTTTCGCACGTTTGTCGACCTCTTTTTATACTGCATTTTCCACCGGATCCATTGAATATCACCCCACCATATATATATATATATATATATATATATATATAAGGGAAAGAAGTTTATACTAAGAGGCTCGTTTTCCCGTTTTTTGACGTAATATTAATGAGATCTAACAGACAATATTGCCAAGGACTGTATAGGGAAAGTTATTAGGCCAAATGTAATGTAAATATGAAGCAAAAAAGTGGGTGAAAAGATAACTTGCCGTGAGCGGGAACCAAACCTGCGACCTTTGAATAGCGCATTCGATGCTCTACCACTGAGCTACCTCGGCAGCTATCGGCCCAGCCACATATTGGGTTTATATGTGAATTTAAACGTGGGAGTGTCAGTCAGCGCCACCTATAGCCACAAAGGCGATTGTGGCTGTTTGGCGTCACCTAGCACGTGAACTTACTAGGTACGGGCTGGTGGCTGACCTATGGTCCCTCGTAAACAACCGAACGGCACCAAGTTTGCCAGTACGAGACTCTTTTTAAGGAATAAGTGAAAGAAGTGTATACTTAGGGCTCGTTTTTCCGTGTTTTGACACAATATTAATGAGTTCTAGCTGGCAATAATGGCAAGAAATGTATAGGGGAAGTTATTAGACCAATTGTAATGTAAATGTGTAAATGTGAAGAAAGATATATATATATATATATATATATATATATATATATATATATATATTCACACATACAAACACATGCACGAGCATATAAATTATGATTGAGCCTCCCCTCTCCCCCCCGGAGAAAATTCCTAGCTGCACTACTGAACGTTACCTATGTTGATTTTCCACATGATAAACAGTTTACCGGTAAAAATATCTTATAGATATGTATATATATATATATATATATATATATATTCACACATACGAACACATGCACGAGCATATAAAGTATGATTAGGCCTCCCCCCCCTTCCCGTTGAAAATTCCTAGCTGCACTACTGAACGTTACCTATGTTGACTTTCCACATGGTAAACAGTTTACCGGTAAAACTGCCTTACGCTTCATTTTAAACTAACTACAACGACAGCAGTTTTCAACACTCGAGAAATTTGCTTACGCCGAAACACGCCCCACTCAGTTTTCGGACAAATGAAATAAACTCGTTGACCTAACTTTAATTGAGCATTAGACGTCTCTATAAAAACAGGGGCATGTGGATTGTACACCAACAAATAAGAGTTACAACACTGCGTTTTCTAGAGCCGACAAGTTCAAAGTTGAAACTCCTAGGTCAAACGACCAGGTACAAAAATTTTGTTTTTTTAGCGATCTATTTGCGTGCATTTTTGCCTGTAAAACACTATTACGAGACCGATGAGAAAGCACGTAAGCCAAATTTTGGATAGCACTGACATGTTTAAAAAAACTATCATTTTAAAACTGAGAGAGAAACTGAGACGGTGTGTGCGAGTACTGCCGACGTGTTTTTTTAAAGCAGGTATCCACCATGTAAATATTATCGACGCAGTTGATTTCAGGCGTCTCTACTGCACGTGATTATCAGCTCTTTTAACTGCAACGACGAATGGCGCTTGTTCATCAGCGAACAAAAATAGTCAACTTTTAGAGCCCGGTCAGCTGTTCCTTTTTTGTTCTTTGTAAGAGCCACGCACAAACGCTGGAAACCTTTTTTTTTTTTTACTATTGCGCACCGTGGTTATTTATTTGAAGACAGTTTTATGGTGCGTGTTCACTGTTTCGGTTTGAAAAAGCTCGTTTCATGCAAACGTACAGTCGCAACGGAAACAAATTAGCATCCCATAGCGAGATTGTCATGCACATTCCATTTTGCAAAAAAAAAAAAATGGTGTGGTTGGCAGGCAGCAGACAAACTTGCTGTTTGCCCTTCGAAAACTCTATATCTTAAGAAAGTGCTTGTACATTGATTATCGACAGATGTAGCTATGCAGATGTATTTTTTTCTCCTGGAGATATGAGCAAACATATCTTTATCGCGTTTGCCCCGAAATCGCTGCTTGTTGGAGTGATTTTCACGCTTTGAAACCACAAATGTTCCTGGCGCTCACTATAGGAGCGTGCTCGTGAAAATGGCGCACGTGACGCATTCTTGCAGTTCCGGAAACCGGCCACTTGTGCCACTCTTTCATCGTTGACAGTGCTGCGGTGTGCTACGTCAGCTCTGAAAACTACGTTTAAGCGAGCACTGCGTGGACAGCCATTTTCAACGAAGGCTGCACGGGTGTCTCAAGTTCTTAACAAGCGCGGCTCTCCGAAATTCCATTCCGAAGCAAGGAACTCATCCCTTCTGCTCCTGTGCCAGTCCATAATAGAGACGTCCCCTCTTTTCGTTAAAAAAGTATATGAAAAAGTTTTTTTAGTGGTCAGAGCGCTCGCAAGGATCACTGCTGCTCTGTGTGTCTCCTTCCTTCTTCGCGTGTGGTTTTTCCTATTTATTGGTTTTTTCCCTTGAGGCCAACACACTGAGTACATTCCCCCGTCGCAAAAGGGCAGGCTACCACCATCATGAAGTGCAAACTCGCCACGCAGAGGTCAAGATTGTGAGTGAGTCTCACAATTCTGACGTCAGTGTGAAGTAAAAAAAAAACTGAAATAGTGCTTGTCGTCCAGGGAGATAAAAGAGACAGGGAGAGATATGACAAAGAAGCATGATAGAAAAAAGGGAGAAAAAGAGGTTCCAACTCACGAAGAGGAAAAGCGTTGGTAACTGTGGCGAACAGCTAAGGAAGGCTGCCATGCAGAAAGGTAGGATGTGAACGCGTACTTGGAAAGACCCCAGCCCAGCAGCGCGACACCACGGCGCATAGAGTCGTCGAGCTCGTCTTGAAATGTCATTGGCGTGAATGAGGTCACGTGGTTAGGGGGCACATTCCTACGCTGACCTTCGTGTCTTGTCGCACTGCGGCACTCGTGGTGGGTTCTGCGGTGCGCTGCTAACCAGTTCGCTTGTACAGTTCGTAAAAACGGCACGAAGAGGAATCATGTTTTCTATAAGTTAATCGGCCTACTGTGCTGCTTAACGGTGGCAAACTGCGTTGACTACGATATCGAGGACCGTGTACTCGTCCTCAACGACAGCAACTTCGATGCGGCCATTAAGGAGCACAAGCACGTGTTCGCCATGCTCGGTGAGTACGGGGATTCTATTTCTCGTTCTAATTTCCGTGTCAACAGAACAGAGTGAAAAGAAAAATGCCATCGATTTGCGTACGCTGCGCGGCTGCTGCTTACAGCACTACTGAACAAAACGTCCCATTGTTCGGTGAGCATAGAGCGTAGGTCGTGAGCTCACGTGTTGGTTTTCTTATGCTGTTTTTCACTGGTAGATTCGGAGCAGGTTTTTTTGCTCCGTGGCGACGAAACCGCATTTCACTGGTAGATTCAGAGTGGATCCGCGCTTTTCACTGGTAGTTTCAGAGCAGCTCGCTCCGAGGCGGATTGCTCGCACTGCTCCGCCGACAAGTCGCAGATTCGGGCGGAAACACGACGAGCAGCATACGTCACTTCCGTCGTTGTACGTTGCTGAGTTTTGCAAAATGGCTGCGTTCGCTGCCTTGGCGGAACTTCTGTCTAGCGACGAAAGCACTTCAAGCAGCAGCTCGTCCAGCTCAGACGACGAAGACTTCGAGGAAAGACAAGCGCTATGCGAAGCCTTCTTTCGGGAAACTTTTTCGGAGTCCCACCGCGAACGTCCCAAAATTTTGGGGTTCATCGAGAACGTTGCGCGGCTGTACACAGACGAGCAGGTAAGCGCGGAGCTCCCTCTTTTCATAATACTACATGAACCTAATTTCATCTTTTTATCATTTCCTTCTCTGCAGTTCCGTCAAGACTTCAGGGTGTCGAGGCGTGTCGCGGAAACGTTGATCCGTGGTTTTGAAGGCTCGCGTCACTACCCATGCAGTGATCGTGGTGGGTCCCCCTCGAAAACCGCGGAAGAGCACATTCTGGTCTTTCTGTGGTAAGTCTGCACGCTGTTTTAAAAGTCATGCCTACCAGTGTGTATAATCTTAATGCTTTCAAGTGCTTCGGCGTAGAAGTACGTTTTTTCGTTGCGTGCGCAGAATTTTGACGGGGAGTCCAACCATTATAAATTTTTGTTCGTGTGTTTATGTGCGCGTGTGTAGAGAATATACACATGTGAAATTTAACAATTTCGGCGGCGTTAAATCTCCCTAGTAGCCTTCCCGTGGCTACGCCGCTTGTGCTTTTTGTCCTTGAAAGTTGCTAAGTGTGATGCAATGGAAACCAATGAAATATGACCGCTTGCAACTGCACAGCCAGAGAGAACAGTGTTAAGAGCTTCTACTTTTCTTACGGCTGCTAATTTTGATGCAAATATTTCATGCCTTTATTTCACAAAGCAGGCTTTACTTGATCACTTTCTTCCATAATGTGTGTTTGCTGTGTCAGGTTTGCTGCAAACAAGGCGTGCCTGAGGGACGTTGCTGGACGCTTTGGCATGGCAACTGCGACAGCATTTAGAGTCGTGGAGCGCACGCTCGAATATTTCCTTGATATAGCCGAAGAGGTAATATCATTTCCAGGAGATCTTGATCAGCTGTCAGCGGACTTCGAACAAGTAAGAATTTTAGGTATTTCACTGTTCCATGGCAAACACAACAAATGAGTTGTCTAATTGAAGCTTACTTTAGAGAATAGTCACATAATACATTGATTGTAGCAGGTTAAGCTGCCGTTGGGGCACAGGGGATGTGGTACTAAGTTGCGCTTGAAAGATGGGGTTATTGTCAAGCAGTCTCACTATCAAATGAGAAATGCTAGTGAAACATGTATTGTTCATTTACAGTGCACATAAAAGCAGGGTGTCTGCCAACGTGGAAAAGTCAGGGAATTTCAAAAAAACCAGGCCAGGTCATGAAAACTGACAGCAGTTCTGTGGGACCGTCACAAAAATAAGCATCGCCATTCATCAAAGCTTAAAAAGTCTCTCAGCTGCAACTACAGTGGGCTGCTGGAAGGTGTGTGAAAAAAAAAAAGGACAGTGCATAACTCTTGCTTCTGAGTGTAAACGCGAAAGGGACCCATAGAACACAAAGTTTACTGACATTTCAGTACCTCATATGGGAGAGAGCCTTGTTTAAAAGTCATGAAAAAGGCACAGTGTACTTCAGTACGCCTAAATACGTGACGTAAGCAGAGAGAGTACATTGTCAGAAGCCTCCCATCACTCCTGTGCAGCGTATGTACAGTTGTCTGTATCTGGATTCGAGAGTTTTACAAGTCTATTTGGTGGTCTGTGATTCCGTGTGTTCAGGGAGGGCAGTCGAGGCCACGCCTCGTTTTGTGGTATCATATTTGTGTTGTTTAACTTTTACCAGTTTCACCGATGTACTGGTCACAATTATGTCAGCCTATGGCATAAACTAGACTAAGGAAATTTCTGCTCGGCAACTTGTCCTTCACATTGGCTAAAGCATTCTTTAACATCCATGTTGGTATATCCACTCTTTTGGTGCCTGTTGCTTCTACATATCACACGGCATATCTGACTCATGTCTGTAGATTTATGCATGTTTTGTCTATGCCACGATTTCGGCCCGGCTTGAAGGCCGTCTGGTTTTTCTAGGCTAGAACTGCTATCAGCTGAAGCTTGCTGGGCTACTCATGTCTTTTAATAATAATAATAATAATAATAATAATAATAATAATAATAATAATAATAATATTATTATTATTATTATTATTATTATTATTATTATTATTATTATTATTATTGGTGGTGCAACACCAAACGTCTTCAGCTACACACTTATGCTGGTAGCTCGTGTTTCAAGGGTAGAACTTGGGTAACTTCAGCTAAATTTTTCATTTCAGTTTTGTGAGATTGTGTAAATAAATCTGCAATTATTTTTCAGTGTCACGTCTACAGCAGAGTACGTAAATCAAGGTAACATGCGGACATTCATGATTCATCTATAGAATCAAGGAAACTGTTCCACCTTGACAAATTCATTCTCACCACCACATATTCAAATGTCAGCACTTTAAACGTTGACCCCAGCTTTCATTTCACTTCAAGTATGACAGCCCAGATAAATGCATGTGCTTGTCGTAAAAAAAAAAAACATTTTGCAGTATGGCTATGTTCTTGCAACGTTGTCGTTACTCGTTGTCAAGGCAAGATACATAGAATATGCGAGTAGTAGTTATTTACTTTTTTTGTTGAAAAGTATACTTTAGAGGTGTGCAAATTAGGCGGCGGCGCAAATCAATAGTAAATACATCAATCTAGGTCGAATCAGTTCTAATCTAATCTACATATAAATAGGTGAGTCAGTAAATACAGTAGTTCAGGTCGATCTAATTAAATCCAATCCACATCCTAACCGGCGTGGGCTACAGCCATTATAGTAAAATAGATTTTACTCCAGTGGCAGAACCGGCCAGGCTCCTGTGTTTTCATTTTACACGAATGCCACCAAATGGCACCACTTCTAAGTTTCTCAGCAGCTTTGACTGCGATGTCAAACGATCGCAGACACCTTCAAACTTCATCTGCGGTTACTCTTAACTTGTGTGTTTTCTTCCTGGTTCTTCGGAACATCAAACAGCTGACTTGCTCACTGCCTAGCTCAGGGGTTTTATTTTGGCCAGATTTACATGTTTTTTCACAATTGTCGCATGCCCTGAGAACATTTTGAGTGCGTCTGGTAATTATGTTTACCTTTATAGAGCGCCCGGTTTTTTTTTTCTACTCGGGTTTGTTTGCAGTGTACAGTGTTTTCCATGCAAACGTGGCAGTCATGGAATTTGCTTTGAATCATGATGGAAAACCTGGGAAATTCAAGGAATTTAGAAATATGAAATTGGTAGACACCCTGAAAGGGACCCCTGGCACTTAAAATTTCTAATGCCTTTTGCTGTGGTGTTCCGTACAATGATTCCATAGTTCTGGCATGTAAAAGACTTGTGTCACCTAAAGTTAACTCCGCTAAGACCAACAAAACTACTGCATCAAGTGTTAAGATTATTTACTTCAAGAAGTTCACTACAGGTGTGTTCTTTTTCTCTCACTGTCACAGGTGTCAGGAGTGCCCAACACGATCGGTTGCATTGACGGATCCTACATAAGCATCCGCTGCCCTGCAAAAAAAGTGCGTTCAACCTATGTGAACAGGCACAGTTATCCGTCACTGACACTGCAAGCTCTGTGTGATCACAAAAAGAAGTTTCTCGATGTGACTACTGGACACCCCAGCAAGATTCACGATTCGAGAATCTTCAGGACATCGAGGCTTTCTTCAAAGTTGCCGCATGTGTGCTGTTCCGGGAAGTACCACGTTCTCGGGGACGCTGCCTACCCGCTTCGAGATTACCTCATAACCCCATTCAGGAATTATGGTCACCTTGACGCGAGGCAGCGCGCCTTCAATTATCACTTTTCGGCAACGAGAGTGAAGATTGAGAATGCCTTTGGAGACCTCAAGGCCAGGTTCCGCCAGCTGCTGCACCTGGACTTTCTGTTTGTAGACAAAATGAACAAGTTCATTATAGCTTGTTGTGTTTTGCACAATATGTGCATTAATTGTGGTGATGTGGATGTGCCGCCGTACATCGATGATGAACATGCACCGTGGGAATGGGAGGCACAACCGGATGATGTTCCCCCCAACAATGGCCCGCTTGCATCAACTGAAGATGCACTGCGTCGCCAAGGCGAGGAGAAGCGTGAGCGCTTAATGCAAGCGATGCGCATTTGATTTAAAGTTAGGACTGCCTACGTGTACACAAAACAAGAAACGTTAAGGTGTTGTAAATTTTGTTTCGTGTTGTAGAGATTTCTAGCAGAAAATAACACTAAAAGACGGGACGAAGCAAGGACACAAACTACGGCGCTGACTAACAAGCAAATTCGTTTTATTCTTCTAATCCGCGTATATATACTTTACCACAATCTCAAGGAAACAAAAAAAAATAGAATCATGATAAATGCATGCCCCTCATTTCTGAAGCGTATCATTTACAACGGCGGCGAAACATGCATCAGTTTCCCTTATATTTCCCTCTCTCTGAAGGAGTTACCTCTCCTGTCTTATTGAGCATTTCTTTCCTCCTGAGTCAGCCAACATTTGTGTGTGTCTTTTTTTTGCTTTTTCTCACCCTTCAGATTAGTGGTGGAGTGTATATACCTAGACTGGAAGAATAAGACACATTTGGCTGTTAGTCAGTGCCATGGTTGTGTCTCTGCCATGGTTGTGTCCCTGCTTTGTCCCATCCTTTAGCACTGTTTTCTACAGGAAACACTGTACTAACCAGCTAAAATGCATGCCGCACTGTGTTGTAGTGACTCATCTTGCTAGGGCGCAGCCTGATTTTTTTGTTTCTTAGCTTTGTGACACGTAGCAGCTTCCACATAGCGTGAGTCAACCCAAGATGTTTGCAGGAATCTGACTGGATCAGTGTAATTGTTTCCTATGCGAAGCCATCAGCATGCTTATTGCTGACTAGTGCTAACGCCGCAGCGTGTTGGTCGGTATGGCTACTGCAGCTGAAGATAGCTGGTGATATTGATAGTAACTGCACTCTTCGTGCTGGTGAGACACGAGAAAGTGACAAAGTCAACCGGCCAAACATAGCTGGGCTCCAGCTCTCGTCAGCCACCACAAACATTCTGAGAAACATGTAGTGACATTGGCATAAGTCCAAGCTAGTGCAGGCTACACTGAGGAGCATTTGTGTTAATGGAACAATGTCACCAAAATTACGAGCTTGAAATGTTTGTGTTGTTTGTCTTGCAGTTGGGGCACTATGCTTGTCAGTTAAACCTGTCGCTTCGAGGAATATTCGTAATGAACACCCATCCCGACTCATTGTTTCCCACGCATGGTGCCCAAATTCAAAAAGTGCGCTCTGAACGTCACAAAAGCCCGAGTCTACATAGTCTTATGACTCCTGAGATTGTTCGCTGTGTAATTTTTTGTGATTCCAGTAGTAGTTTTACAGTGATGCCAAAATTAGTCACAAGGAGCCATTCTTGCATTAATTACACAGTACATTGCAATATTTATGATCAAAGTTTGGGGACTACCGGACACAATGCTCTTAATTAAAGCATTCAAGTCTAAACAAAAATTTGTCAGGGGTCCTTTAGGCATGGTGACTGCTGCTGTGAGAAATGGCTTCTTTGTCATGCAATTTGGTTATTGCTTGTGCATTAACATTTCATTTGCCTGATGAAAATTTGCATGGACAAACGTTCTGCATTTCTTAGTCTTTGTTCAGCTTTTCTTACCATCAAAACGGCGTGAAATTATAATGATCATTGCAACTTTGTCTTGTAAAAGGGCCCTGGAACCCTTATTTCACCTCAACAACAAACATTGTCAATCTGTTATCAATGCGCCTGCCAACGTGCACATGTGTACAATGCTTACAATAAACATGCTTTTCACATTTTATTCATTTTTCTTCAAGTTGAAAATTTCACGGAGAAGATTCATCTTTTCTTTGTGCATTTCTTCTCGTCGCTGTGTTTTAGCAAGTCGTCGCTCTTCCCTCTTGCTGTCTCTTTCAGCCTTTCGCTCTGCTCGCCGTTCATCTAACTCCTTCATTTTTTCAAAGAAGGTTTGCAGGTGGAGCTCGCGTGCTGAATTCGGGCGTTTTCTTTTTGAATCAGGAGTGTCGTCCTGCCCAACGGAGCTGGATGGAGAGTGTGACGTTGACGAGCTTGAACCAGCAAGTGGAACAGACTCGGTGGATGACTGTGGACATGTCTTTTTTGATACCACTCCACTTGCGTCGCGTACCACTTCTGGTTCCAAGCTGTCGTCCAGCCACTTGATTTTTTCAAGCTCGGCCTCGTAGGGGACTTCTTGTGGGGAACAGCCAGACGTATTATTTTTCCCAGCTGCCACATTTTTTATTTTCAGTACGGTTTTGTACCGAGAGCAGCACTGCTCACCAGTTCTCATTACACCCAGTTTATTATTAATGTCTGTTGCAATTTTTTCAAACATGGCCTTTTTGTTGCGAAATTTTTTCAGAGGGCCAACTTGAGGGAAATATGAGGCGTAGAGGTCCAGCAGCAGCTTCGTCTCGCCACTCGTCCACTCACACCCTGCAGCTGAAATATGCATTATACACACATAAAATACATATAAACTGGCATTAATAGACTTTTTTGATACAGGGCACGAAGCTATATGCTCTCTGAGCCATAGAACACTTACTGTAAAGCATTAGTACTGTCACACTGTTTTGGCACAGCAAATATTGGGTGCTGTGGGGATCGCTTTGCATATCAGAACAGACAATCATGCAAATTCATAATATTACTATACATAACTTATTCACAGCATAATTTTCTTAGAGAGTAAATTTGAAAACACTGCATAATAAATATGGGGCCTCTTCGTGCAGCTGACTATTCGTTGAATTCAATTTTATTATTTAAGCACCCAATATTGAGAAGCGTGAGCAAGAAGCCATTAAATGGTTTTGCGTAATTCGTGGTTTTTTTGAGAGGGTTTGCAATCTGCTGGACCTATCTTCATCCTAATGCCACTAGCATGTTTGTGTATGCATGCTTACCACGTGCAGGAGTCCCTGGTTGACAAGCCCGACTTGGTGACGCACCAGTAGACGCTGCAGAATCTGTGTTTGATAATTGAAAAGCATTGTAGTATGTTAATATGTGTTAATTTTAAGCAGGTACACAATTTTCTTCAAGTAGTCCTTACACGTTGCTCGTCAAGGCATTGTCCTCTACATATATAGACGACTGTATACAAAACTAGTTCTACAGAGACACATGTAGACCAATTTACCATTTCCTAAAAATGCGCCCTGTGTATGTGACAAAGCGTCGGTGGCGTCACACTGTGTAGCACCTTCAAATAGAGAAAAAGAAAAGACATTTGCGGGTTAACACCAAAAGAGTAGAGGTCAAGAATCACCAAGAAAACGTTACTTCTCTAGTAAATTTTTCATGCATGTATTCATGCGCGAATACAGAGATCGCCATGCATTTTTATTAAAGGTAATACAGCAGCTTGGTGAGCGCTGCGAAAATTCCGGCGCTTGTGATATTCTAAATAGTAGGACTGTAAGGTGTTGGGTAAGCAACTGCTCTGATTAAAAAAAAAAGCCTGCTCACAACATGCCGTATTTTTGCGAGCGCCGATTGCGGCCGTTACCACGTGTACCCGCATGCTTTACAATTATCTGACCAGTCTTCATGCGGAGCTATCAAAGTTAGCATTCCGTGCAGAGTTTATTATCAGCGTCAAGTACGTCGCACTTACCGTTCAGATCGTTGCCGCTGTTTCTGAAAACGCCCAGCAACAGCCGACGCACAGCCGGTGTCAATTCCGCGTGCTCGTCCATACTTGCTACACAACTGCTGTTCGCGACTGCGTTAAAGTGTTCTACAAAGCTTTAACTGCGTGGTCGAAATGCGCGCCCTGCAGTGGCGGCCAAAGTTGCCAAGGAAACGAAGAGAGCGGAAAAATAAACTGTTTCCGGAACCGGTTTGCGTGACGTATGCATAATCAACTTCCGGGGCACCTCTCACGGAGCATTCTCGTGTTTCACTGGCAGAGGTGGCTTCGTGCGATCCGAGTGCTCGCTCCGGGATTTCGGCGGTCGCTCTGAATCTCCCAGTGAAAAACACCATTAAAGAAAGCCAGTGTAAATTTGTGATCGGTCAAGCAAATGGCATTTTCGTCCATTGAAGTAGATGTAACAGTTCAAAGAATAAGGATGGCTCCTACAGAGACAGCTTGTAGTTGGCCTTCGTCATGCCGTAGAAATTTATTCTAACCGCCTCGGGGAGCCATGATCACAGCTTCTTGCTCGACATTGAAACGTATGGCTGATCTTCGCTGGCCACTTTACTGCTTTCGCCGGTGCCTGCAATGCGCTGTCGCGAAATCTCAGCAGGCGTGCAACAGCTGCGCCAATTGGGTCAATATGATACAAATCCTTATTTCTGCCCTTACCTAAACAAAACCAATAAATTTGTTGTAATAGCGCTAGGCTCTGTCAAATTAGCGAACCAGCCTCGGAGTTTTCTCGATAACGGTAATTTTAGCAAGAAACTTAGAATGCGCTAAACACCTGTCGTTCGAGCATCATCCACTCTATTGCAATCTAACCATGGAGACAAGAACCGTAACTATTAGTTCAATATGTCCTAACCTCACCATGAAAGAAAATAGAAAAGAGGGCTCAGTGCCGGGATCCAAAAATGTTCAGTGTCTCAAACGGTCAATTAATTCTCTAGCGAAAGAAATCTAAAACACATTAAACTGTTTGTGAGTGATGTAAACTTGTCATTTTTTGGTATGAAGTTTCCTACCTTCCGCCACTTTCTAGAACTACATTATTCCACTCCTTACCTCTTCATCATCTATCATTTAGCATTATTAGGCTAACCGTAGATCTAATCACTATTTTGTATATTTGACTCTCGACTGAGGGCCCCTCTCTACTTTTTTATCCATTTGCCTGAGTTTTAATTACTACTCCATAACACCAAGAAAATAGGATACAGCCTGAAAGGCAGCCCCTGTCTATTCTTTAGTAGTAAGAACTTTCTAACGTTTAACTTTCACGCACTCCAACCGCCCGCGACGTATTTGCTAAACGTAACAACAGGGAGTTTTAGAATAGCGCACCGCGAGCCCTTGCTGTGCGGTCGCTGCCACTGCGCAGGCGTCTTAACGCGAGTTGGCGTTCGCGTTCGCGGACCGCACGCAAAAATTCGAAATAGCGTGCAGTGATGGCAGCCCGCATGTGGCCCGCAAGCGCAGGTTTCAAGGCTACGGTGTCGCTGCGATCGTGCGTTCCTGTTCGCAGCCGGGTAAACGCTATTCTAAATCTCATATGGCACCCGCTACGCCCGCAGCACTTACAAACGGTATTCTAAACCACCCTATTGATATAGAAGTAGCCGATTAGTTCGAAACGCAGGCGCGCGCAACTCATCAGTTGACAGGTAACGGCAAAGTGGAAGAGCTACCCCTTGAAATCAGAAAACATCCGACCTTGCGGGCACTTTGAAAGCAACAATGTAAAACTTGGGCAAGATCGGAAGAAGTTAGGAGAAAATAAATGCGTAAAATCGTGATCATCCAGGGCACTAAGCCGGCCGGAGATCGCAAGGCCAGAAGTTGAAAAGCGCGCGAGGTGGTCTGTGGATGTTTTTTTTTTTTTCAGACAGGTAAAAAAGTAAGGCCATGGGAGCTGCGAGTCAGATGAAGCTGAGAGCTGACGTGCGATCAGGTGGTGTTCAACGGTGCTAAGAAAGTGCAACAGAACCCCTGCTAGGAGATAGCGCAGCACCTTAGTATGGAATGACAAACTTCGGTTAGAAAGAAGATGCTGGGCCATTCTCAATTGTATATTTATTAAAACGCGGGATAAGGGAATCGTTTGAAGAAAAAAGAGGACTAGGGTGTGGCCTCACTGGCGACCACCTGCAAGTAATGCACTTCCACACCAGAGCAGGATTGGTCACCCTGGTGCAGTACTTGGCCACTA